AAAATTCACTTTGGCACAAAGATGTGCTTTAGAAAATGGAAGCTGCCAAGCTACAGTAAGTAAAGCACCAGATCAAGACTTGAAGGAACTACGTTCCACCACCATTAATTCCATCAACTTGTTTAAGATAGATATTGAAAAAATACATTTTGCCAGCCAAGACTGAAAACACGCACAATCTTAAGAACTCTGAACTTTATAGATGAAGAGATGCACCACATATATTAGATACTATACGTCCTGAAGGATTCCTCCATAGCTTTATTAAATAAATATTTTTCAAAATATAAAGATCCTAAAAGTTTGCTTTAAGGGGACAAACATGATCTTTTACCCCGAAACAAAACACTTTGGGGGTGTCCTTATCATGCGCAGAGACCCATGGACACACAGTCTCTCTCCCACGCTGCTCAGCCTTGTCCTGACCTACCAAGTACTACTGACCCACCCTCTGCCCCTTTCATTTTCAAGCATGTGCTTTCCTTGATCTAGGACATAACATTGCATTTGTATCGAAGATTAAGATGGTCTTAACTCTCAGATCTCCGTCAGGCTTCACAACTTTCTCATGGACTGCCAACACAGCCACTTGACACCTGCCTGTTCAGTATCTTTCACTACGTAGACTTGTTCCCTGTGGAGCAGCAGTGGCAGGAGGCACTGCCCCATATCACACGTTTTGAAGAGCCCTATGAAAGCACACACACCTGTCTGTTCTCTGCAGCCTTAGCTTTCTAGGGAGTCTTCACACCTCACTGCATTTATATACTTTTTACTCTACTGGCCCTACTTTTATAAACAGCACTTTTGAAGGAGGAGCACGAATGCGTGACTGCCTCCAAAAAAAAAATAAATAAATTGGCACAGAACCACTCTGTCACAGAACCCGTCACAGACTTTTAATAATTCAGGGAAAGTGATTTAACTGCAGGGATGGCTGTAACATGTCCGGATAAAGCCTTTTGCTAGCAGCAGTGCTTCGAACTTAGCATCAGGATTGCATGCAACCACGGCAAGCCAAAGAGCCAAAAGCAAAAATACAACGAAGATTTTACATGAAATAAATTATAATTTAAAGAAAACAGCGCTCCAAGAAAACCCACTTCTTTTAAATCTAATTTTTGTCATTCAGTTACAGGTGACTGTGGAAAAAACATCTGGCCAAATACTCTCCATTTTGTCCCAAGTAATACATCACTTACCTTTTGATGTATTTCTTTAAAGAAAAAGTGTTTGATTTAAGCCACAGGGGCAGGAAGCCAACAATGTTTTGAAAGTACTTTTAAGACTTGCAAATAAGTACTGGAAACTCCCCCTACTTACACATAGAAGGAGTGGTAATCCAGAGAAGTGAAACTACCTGAAAATGCAAACTCAAATTTCTGTGTTTTGTTTTTGTTGTTGTAGTTTTTTACCCCATGATCACAAAACAAAGCTCTTCTAGAAACCAGAACAAAATGACACAGGGCATCTCACACCTCATCATGGCTTCTTGCCCGGACTATTCCTTCTGAAGAACATCTGGCAAAGCAGGGGTGAGCAAGTGTCCGCGCACAGAACATGCACACAATTTAGTGACTTTCATACATACATATTACCCACATTTAGTTATTGATATTACTGATTTTCATAACTCATTCTTCAATCACAACTGGAACAGAGGAGAGTGTTAACAATATGACGAGTTACCCAGAACTTCACTGCTTTCATGTAAGCACTTGAAGTCATGCACCTTGTAGTCAATGCTGCTGACATAATTATGTCATCTGCTGACAGATGGACAGATCTTTGTTGCCCAGTTACGTTATGACCCAAAGACCACAAAACCTGAAGTAATCAAGCATTTATTTTGCCTGAGGTTCACAGAACAGAAGCACTGGAAGGGAAAGCAGGCTACGTACAACAGAACAGACTCTGGAATTATTGTATTCGTTTACTACTATCGCCAAACTCCACTGCCTGTAAAATTCCAAGGTCTTAAAATGAACAAAAAATAGAGAAGATTCATCAGCACATACATCTAACAATTAAAAGCAGTGCCTTCTTTTGTCATTTGGTAATTTCTCTGCTATTTCTGTTCTACATTCAGAACCACAATTTTGAACCAAATTTGACAAACTTTCCTGATCTACACAGAAACGTTACTGAGCCAGTGTTTAAGATAAAGATCATAACTGTACTTCTCAGTAACAAACACATCTACAAAACAACTGTCTGCTGGCAACACAAACAGCAGTATCTGCAACTGATAAAAAAAATACAACTGATTCTTCTGACAGAAAACACAATATGCCCTCATATGCCCAGAAGCCTTAAAACCAATAAACCTGATCTCAGTAATGGCAATACTGCCATTTTTAGTGATGGTCTACAACAGAAAATGTTGAATTAATCACAAAAAAAATATTAAAAGGAACAGTAATCAGAACTCAACTATTTTACGTACCATTTGCCCATTTCTACGCCTACCTAGATATTAGGGAACATACCGACCCACTTACTATTTTCTGGGTACTAATTTGTAGCAGAACACCACTGCAGAACATTTATACAATGCAGAAACAAACTGATAATAAAATGTGCTAAAAGAACTTGAAGGCTGAAAAAACAACACAATAGGATGTAAAGCACATACTTGCTTTGATTAAGTAAGGGTCCACTAAATCAGAAGTTTTATTCCATTTTAATTCAAAAAGAACGGAAGTTTTATTTTCCCAAAAATATTTCAGGAAGTTATTTGTGTACCAAAATGGGAACAACATTCCCACCCTGGGGCGTCATCATATCTGCTCTTGACAAGACTGGAAAACTTGTATCGCTAATGTAATACAACTGAGAGAATTTGAGCATGCCTGCGTGATCCTGCGTTTTACTAAGATAAAAACCTCACTAATAAATCAGAATTATTGCCATTCTTGGTAACTCAAGATCTTTCTACAGCATTTGCTTGTTACCCCAGTCAATATAGCCAGCCAGTAGGAGCTACACTGGGCACCTCTACACTCATTAGGAGATGTGTTAGCCTCCTAGCCTAAAAAACTGTTCCCTGTTGTTAGTCAGGGCTTCTCATCTGTAAAGCATTTGAGGGCAGGAGAGAAGCGTAATCCTCACGCAGCACTTACAGAAGGTGAAACACTCAGTTTCAAGAAGAAAGTCTCAAAAGTAGCAGTGCTGCCTCAGCAGACATCTACGTGACTGCCTTGCATCAACAACAGCAAAACAAGAAGCTTTTCAAGATTAAACTTAATTGTGTTTCAAGTCAAGCATTTCATCAGTCGAATACACAAACCTGAAGTCAGAAAAAAACACTTCAAAGCAGCTCAGTATTTATTTTGAGAATATTTTCCAGCATTGAGTTTCATTCTGTTAGTGTCCGGTATTTCTTAAAAAGTAAACAGAGCTACTCTCTGCTAACGCAGCGACAGAAGCAGAGAGCCATGGTTCTGAACAAGGCCATGTTTCACTTCCACAGGCAGTCAGAATGAGAAGCTGCACTTTGTTTTACACTGAGATCGTCTGTATCATAATCATATTAGCCGCTTTGCTTAATTGTACGTAAGGCTGTCTTCACTTATGAGGAAAGAAACAGTAATTTAAAGTTTGAATTAGGTCAATATTTTGGATCATCTGATTAAAACATTGATTTTTTTGCTCCAAAATGAAGTCAGCCACTCTCAACTTCAATACTCTTTTCAAATGTCTAATTCTGAAAACAGGAGCTACAAAGTTCTGCAGACGCCGACTATTTGTTTAGTTCCCAGTTCCAGAAGAAAGATATTTCTGACAAAATATTTCACATTGACTGGGAAGTCTAAGCTATTCATTAGTGATTCTCAGTAAGCACTCTCATATGGAGACATCATAATGATATCTATTTCTTAAGCCTATCACTTCAGTCACCTAAATAATCATTTACTTTAAGGCCAAGTAAACACTGTGCACCAGATTTAAGAGATTTATTCGTTTTTTTCAGGATAGCTTTGGAGAAGCCCTCTAAAATTTGTGCACTCCTCCCTCAATTTTGTCAGCATTACTGCAGCTACAAAACCCTTGAGTTTTCTCTCACACATTCAGTCATTTGAAATATTTCCACATAGAACCAGTTCTCGTTTTGCTTCATGACTGTTCATCTATTGCAGCCTACTTAACTGCATTTGACAAACAACGTGGTATCCAGCTCGTGCGATAGAGCAAACATATCTTAAAAGCAGGCTTGAATTAAGACTTTGCTCCTCACATTTGGATCTCAAGGAAAGAATATCTATGGTAACCTTATAGCCCACATTCAACATCTTTTCTGCCCCATATGGCTGCTACATCTCAAACACTGGCCAACCTCAACATCAAGCGAGTTTCCTTGTTTTTACGGGTTGAAGTGAAGATAACATCATGTGCTCATCAGCAAACACTTCCTTGAAGCTAATATTATTCTTACAGTAACACATTCGTAAGAATTATTCGGTGAATAAAAAATAATTTTATAATATTTTTTAAAAATAATTTTATTCTTGAATTAAAAAATACTGCATACCTTGAGTAACAAGTTGCAAAATATCCCACTCATTACTTATTATTAATTGCTAACAATGCTTAGATCAAAAGCAAACACATAAAATAGCTAAGTCATCTACATCATACAATGGAACTGTGTATTGACCCTGCACCAAGAGCTGCTACGTCTATAAATTCTATCTTGTTCCTCATGTGCTGTCTCCATTATAAGCTAGCCTGCCGTCCTCTCTGTGTAAAGGCTAGAACTCATACTTGAGTGTTAGCAGTTCTATGTAATTTTTGAATTGAAATGTCAACCCAAGTTTGTATTTGGCTGTTACTGTGATGTATTATCATCATTAAGAAACATCTTAGTAATTTTGCTCATAAATTGGGCCAAAATTCCTTCGTTAGAATTGCTCAAAAACATTATTTCCCACTAATCAGAAGTTGTAAGAGCTACAATATTGTATTAGATGATAAAATCAACTATTGGATATTTTCCTCACCTTTTCGGTCTGGTTTGAGGTTCCGATCCACTGGCGGTGGTTCACATTTTTCAGTAGGCACTGACCGTCTGGGAGGGGTCTTTGGACTGGACCTGAAACCCATGTGAGAGGGAGGAGGGACTTGCTTTCCAAATAACGGAAAATCAAACGTGCCTGGTGTCATTGGAACATAATTTGTTTCCTGGATGGGTTCAGTGAAGCTGCTGGAATGCTGTCGTGGAGGAGAGTTGGGATTCATTGGGACATAATTTTCATCTAGTTCTTCACTTGAAACACTTCCCACTGTCAACATGCTTCTGTTTTTCTAGAATTAACATATATTTCCTTTAACAAAATAAGTTACGCAATCAGCTGTGAATCATATGAATCTTTTAACCTAAGCTACTCAGATTAATACACTACTTTGAAACTGAAAATCACAAACACCGTACACCTTGCTTTTTTTTTTACACAGAAACAAAAAGCATTCAAGCTCTGTTACTGTTGTCTCTCGTAAGATCACATCATACTTACAAAGTGGTTATGGAAGCCCTCCAATGAATTAGATCTGTCATTCGGAAACGTTCGTGGAATATCATAACAGTCTTGAGAACTAATTTCTAAAGAAATAAGAAGAGAAAGTGGCTATTCATCATTTGTGTTCCCCATCTCTTGGCACCAGTCATCCAGTTTGTTTTTATTTACTGTCTGCTTCTAAGACACCAGGCAAACATACCTCCCAAAGCTGTGGCCAATAGGTTTTATCCACAGACTTGAAATGACCGTGTTCATAAATGAACTCAGCACTTGCCAATCAACTTGAAAATCTTATCATGTTTTCCATATCAGAAAACAAAAACAAAAACAACAGTATTTTTTCCTTTTAAAGAACCAGCTACATCTTCCTTTCAAATAGGCAGGCATAAAACTTTACTGTAAGAGCTGTATCTTTTGAGATAGAAGACCCTCATGAGAAACCTACTGTAAAATAAACAAACAACAGGTGTAATTTTAAGTCTAGAGTGATGTCTTCTGACTGAATACACTTGATTAGAAAGTGCTGATTCAACAGAAACTGATTCACTGCTATAACAGGTAAATTCTTCTTTTATCCCACCACTCTTCTCTCAACTCCCCTGTAGGCTTCCAGGGGTTTTCAGATTGAATAAGTGACAGAACTGAAATATCTCCTGCTTCTCAGGGCCATGGCTCTCAGCACTCCACATTAAGAAGGTCCTCACCTTCGTGACTGCCTCTCTGGAGCACTGGGATGTTCGTGAAATACTCTGCCCCCAGGTCCTGGGTCTCACTCACTTGTTGCAGGCAACAGCTTGCATTACTTCTCTACGAGCCTGCTTCCATTGACATTAAGACAGAAACTCGAGGGGAAATTCTGTTCTGTTCTCCTCTTGACCTAGACAAAGAACTCCAAAACCTCTCCCCCCCACCACCATCACCTTCCTCATTTTTGCCTGCCATCCCACAGGCACTGTAACTTTCCTCACAAACATCAGCACCAGCTTCAACCAGTATAAAATTAGACTCCGAAAGTCACATCTTTATACCCACTGCCTCAGGAACCTAAAATAAATGAAACTCTTGGACCTAAAGTTTTTAGTAAGACAACAACCGCTCTCTGTAACAGTAAATATCACTTTCTGAACTCAGCCTTTCACTGCATTTCTTTACTTTAAATCTGAGAGAATAAGAACAGGAACAAAAACAAACAAGCAGAAAAACAAGACACACGAAAATCTTTCTAAAATAGAACTAGCCCCACCAGATTTGCTAGTACCCAGAAATACACCCAGCTGCTAAAAGAAAAACAACACTAACGCATTAGCAAGTCTGCAATGCTGGCATTTAAACTGCTAGAAGGAACAACTTCAATTTTACTGTAAAAGCTTTGTATGCACACCTAACACAAGGAGAGAAAGCTTTGTGGCGTCAATAACCAGTTCAGGGTTGATTTCAAAGCTCTTGGTGCATACCAAATTTCACTGAACTTCCAGCTTCTGCAGATTTTGGTCACTATGTGTGAACCTTACATTGGTTGTTCTGACAGACTGACAGCAGCAGTTTTGAACTCAGCTATACAACCCTATTAGCAAAAACAATGCTTAGTTTTCCACTGCTGTTTTGAAAGACTAATAGAGCCACTGAAATGTCTAGCACTTCAAATACGTCCAGCTAAAGCTGAATGCCACAGTGGAGTAGCCTTTATCAATGTTCTGCTTTGCTATTTCAATGCTTTTCCTCTAATCAACCTGTCTTTCTCTGGTTTCTTATATATTTTAGACTTCAGTGAGTGCTTCGTGAAGTGCCACACACTCGCTTCTCGAGGACAAAAGCAACACAATTCCACTCACATGTAACTCATCTTTCTTCCTAAGACTAATATCATTGAGCATTAAAAGAATCTGGAAGAACAAAGTAAAATATGGAGCACTGACCTTTACGAAAGATATTCAAATCTACAGTTGAAATGGTGTTACTGCGTGAGGGTGGTATTCCTGCTGTAGGGATACAATAGCTACTATCAGTATCTGAAGCTGTGCGAGTAATGCTACATGTTTCCACAGGAGATCGATCTGCAGCGTGGTGAGGTTTTGGTGGCCGAGGTGGAGGAATATCTGGAATAGTATCCAACTTTGTAGTCTGAGACAATGTTCCTTCTGGAAAAGTTCGTGGAATCTGGTAAGTACCTCCGGGTGTAGGGGGAATGTCGTAACTAATGGAGATGTGCCTCATCTGTGCATCTAACGACGACGCCGCTGATGGCGTACTGAAAACATGCTGCTCGCCTTCTGCATCAGTCCCCGTTGGAGATGCTGCCTTTGGTAAAACATCTTGGGAGTAACTTCTGGGCAGGTTATAAAGGCTGGAGTCTGCCAACGGTAGTCCAGTACGAGAAGGCGGAGAGTCATAGACACCTTGCTGCTGAAAAAAGCCATTCACAGCTTGCTTGCTCATGGATGGAGCAGGGTTTTTGTGGGAGGGCACGTTATCATTGCAGTCTGTTTCAGAAGAGCTGGATTTTGCAGAGTCAGCGTGAGATCTACACACAAGATCAAGAGATTCAAACATTGATGAACACAAAGAAAAGAAACGTCAAAATCACTTTTAAGATGTTTAAAATGTGGACATTTAGGTGCATCAGTCTCTTCCAACTGTTAAAAAATGAAATGCAGGAACCCAATTACGAAACGAACTACTTCGGAAGGATTCTAAGTTATTGCACATACACAGACCATGCAGGTGAAATAGATAACAGCACAAGCACATAACTTTAGCAGCAGCTCAGCAAGTTGATATTTCATAAAGCAAGTGATCTCCAGGAAGATGTCAAGACAACCTAAAGCAAAGTTTGTTTATTAAGGTAGCTGAAGGTGGGGTTTAACTTTTTGTTCTTTTAATCAGCTCTGCAAACTAGCAGCACTTCAACAACACTGAAAAGTGAAAATGCATTCAATCCTTGAGTTCACAATACTTGCTAGTTCTAACCAGTATGAAAAAATACAATTAAAAACAGCTGCTTGCAACACCCTGAAGTTATCTACTAACCAAATAAAACTGATTCCAGTATTTTTTTTTTTTTTAATGCATTATAAAGAAGAGAAAAAGACAGAGAGAGAAAAATCCATGTGATATATGTAACAACAGAGTGCTTTTTCTCCTGAACACCAGTTAAGGCCACATCATTAGGCAAAATGGCACAGTTGTTTGCCTTTATTTCTTTGGAACAACCACTTTTTATGACAACAGCTCTCATTATTACTGGTAATACGGATACAACTGCCTTTTGGTTCAGTGTTTTGTTGACTTTTTTTTTTTAAATGGGGGAGGGTGACACCTCCCCATTTACCTTGCCCCAGGAAGAGTGATTCTAAGTTCTGAATGCTTGCTTAAATGCAAGTGAAGACAACTGCAGAAATACTAATGTAGAAGGAGGTAATACAGTTTTTCCACCATATCCTGGTATTTCCTTTTATCATTACCACAGAACCATTTCATTGTTTTTGTTTATAAATATGTACATGCATACTTCAGCACGTGTGCAACAATGAATAGCTGGTATACTACTCTCACTAAGCAATTGGTCAATTCAATTTACAAAGCTGCTGAGAAATAAAATATTCAAATCAACACTATTCTTCCTTTAAGAGACTCTTGTTCTACAGGTGATCAATTTGTCAGTAAAATCAAACATTTTCTTACTTCAGCAACAGCCAAATTCTTACCTCCCAGGGTTCTAGTAACCTGGGGAGAAAGGAATTCAGCTTAGCAATTCATTTAGGTTTCCTCTTCATTCATTATGGAGAAATTGATACAGTGTGAAACAAGCCTTTCTTCTCAGAGATCCACCTAAAAAATGACAAATGACTCCCTAAGAGCCTCTCTGTGCCAACTCTCAAGGGAACGGATGTTATTAGTTTAGACTGGACATTAGCAGTCAAGAAAAATGTTCTTCACCTAACACATTCCTGTTGTGTTTAACAGAATTGATACTATCATCCATCAGCCTGGTCTTCTCTGGCTTTAACTTATGACATACTTTTCTATGTATTTTTTTGTTGTTGTTACTTTATATATTATTTTTTCCATATTAAAATATATACTAATTTTGCTCTGATTACTATTTTTCATGTAGATTTAAGTTCTCCTTCAACAGTCAGAACTGGTTTCCACGTGACTTAGAATACTAACCTGCACTTAGTTTAACAGACTCCCAAATATTCTCATTATTTACCCTTGGCAAAAGCAAGGAAGTCAATCTTCCGATATTCCTTGTACCATCAACTTCGTTGAGTTTACTCTGTCTCAGAGCTTTACAAGTTCTCTAATGAACTACTGCAAGTTTAACATAACTGCAAAAAATACAGCACACAGGATGGAAGGAACTACGTAAGGTTACAGAGTGCTTCATCAATTGTGAAAGTATTATGTGATCAAACTGTATCTTTGATGCAGCCCTTGCACTTCAAGTATTCATTCCAAAGTTCTTCTTTTTCAGCACACACTCTTCTAGCTCTGTGGCATTCATTTGTACCAAACCCACAGCAAAAGTCACGTGTTTTACTTTAGTGAGCACAGCATGGACCATGATGTATATTTTAAATGCTAGAAAAATAAAGTGGGCAGACATTGACAAGTGATTATAGAACTGAAATTAGTTCCAGTTCAGCAGGATATACTTTTACCTGAAAGTATTTCCAAAACCATGGAATAATAGAGGCACTGCTATACATCTTACCAAAAGCAAACAGAAAAGCACATCATAAAAAAACTGTAGAGTTGACCTCATTTCTCAAATTTTAGCTTGTACACATACCGGGATCACTTTCATCCATTTAGCCACGTGCCAGAACTCAACCTTTAAAATGTTTTCACACACAAGAGCAAAGCAAATGTCCGTAATCTTAGCTGTTCTAGGCACAATGGTGGTTTTACAGACATTAAGACACATTATAATGACGCCAAGTCATATTTGACTCTAGAGAAGCAACACATGCAAGCATATAGAACCAAAACTCAAGATGCAACAACAAAGCACGTACAATATAGTTACCCATCACATGTATGCAACTTAGGAGCTTTCTGGACCCAAGTAAATGCTGCTGCTTCTCTCTTGAGCACTTGTGAAAACATAAGACTTGCAGCCAGTCATTTTCTTAGCTGATGGCAATGGTATGCATATCTCATTGTAAGAGGGCTTCTATGATTTACTCCACTTTTTTTTTTTCTTCTTTTTTTTTTTTAAGTCATCTTTTGGAATTGGCTTCATAGGCAATTGAATTAAGTGTTCAAAATATGAAAATGTTGTAACCAGTTTGACTTTGCAAGACCAAAAACTAGAAGATGGTCTGAAATAGAGGGCACAAAAGCAGTTTATACCTAAATGAAAACATAACTGACCCTCTGAAGTTTGAATAGATTTCAGAAGCCAGCATTCACCACTGAACATGGCAGAAAGAATACATACTATCTACAAGATTTACATTGTATTCTTGATTCATGTTACCTCAAGAAAAACTAGATTAGCACTACAGATGAGGGACAGATTTTTACTGTTTGTTTTTTAAGAAAAAGCTTCAGATATACAATCTTGGATGATTTCTGCATGTTTTCTAACATAAATCATGCAATCACAGAATCTTTTCACTTAGAAGGCACCCTTAGAGATCATCTTGCCCAACACCCCTGCAGTGGACAGACTTCTGCAGCTACATTAGGTTGTTCACATCTCGATCCAGCTGGACCTTGAACAGAGAACAGGGCATCCACCACACCTCTGGGCAATCTGTTCCAGTGCCTTACCGCCCTTCTTGTGAAAAACTGCTTCTTTACAACCAGTCTAAACATCTCCTCTATTAGTATGAACCCATCTCCCCTTGTCCCTTTACAATGGACTCTGCTAAAGAGTCCCCCTCTTTTAGCCTTTAGAAACTGAGAGGCTCATGTCCAGCTTATGATCCACCAGGCCCCCGAGTCCTTTTTGGCTGGGCTGAATCCTCCACTGACATGGTAAGCATTCAAGTTTCTCCGTACTTCAGTTTTAAATGCAAAGTAATATCTAACATAATGACAACTAATCCTATTTATAATCAGAAGATGACTGTGATATGAACTCAGTATTACCAGGCGTGCATCACATATCTGCAAAAAGTGCTTAAGTGAGCAAACAGTTCTTTACCCAGTACTGAGAACTGTACAGCCTGCCAGTCCACAAGAACTGGGTGTTAATATTCACGGAGCAGAGATAAAGTACCAGGGGCAAAATAAGAAAGCCTAACACCATGCACTAAAATCTGACTGCTGACAGAAACCCAGGAGAAAAGATTTCAAGCCAGACAGTAATACAACATGAAAAAATGGGCTGATTGTCCGTCAGACCACTCATCCTTGCAAGCTGATTCTTTTTGCAACTGCAGGAACAAATACGTCAGACTAAACAGAATAACGATAAATAAAGTGGCAGATAAACTGCTCTTGTATGCCAACAATCTGGGACAGAAACAGCAAGCATAGTAGAAATGTGGATAAATAAGTAAATAAAACAGCTCTATCTTAATTACAGCTATTTTCAGAAAACGGAAGCCAAGTTTCCATAGTTTTTTTCTGTTAAAACTGAACACCATGCAAGACATATTCCAGACAATATTTTCAGGCAAGTTAATGGCACTGCAATTAATTTCTCACACACGTTCCAAGAACAGCTACTGTTCACTCACTGCAGTGGAACCTTTTTACTTTCAAAGTCTTCTAAGAGAAGGTATTCCTGCCCTTCTTCAGAGATAAAGGGTGACCCTTGGCTGTTTCATAGACACAAGAAAAACGAGGAAGACAGTGTTATTTCCATATACATCTTGAATGAGCCAGAACAATAAGACTTTCGGAAACAGTCCCTGGCTTCTTTTTCTTATTTATGATCCAAATATGAACGTCACACTCTCACTAAATGCTACAGTTAAACAATACTCTTTTTCAAGCCAACAGTGATCAGAGCCCAAAACTATTTTAGACAAAATACAGCATGATAATTATAACCACAAGTACTGTGCTCAAACTATTCTAATAAGACTATATGATGCACTGCATGACACTGTAAGGAAACATTTTGAAGTTATTGTTAGTTTTGACACATAATAACTAAAAATTCTGAAAAGGGAGGTTGATTTTTGATCGTGGCCTCTAGATTTCTCAGTTACCCATCTCACCTGAAAAAAGAATAATTCCAAAGATTTTTTATAGAAAAATCAGTGCTTCCCAGATTACCCACTAAGTACTATGCAAAGTTAGAGCAGAAAACATTCCTTCTTTTTTAAAATCTATAAAGAAACCAATGCAGAAAAAACCATTCAAGCAACAAAATCCATATATAAATTAAACAACATCCACCTACTATAGCTTTGCTTTTAATTAACATTTACACAACTTTCCCCCAGTTAAAATAAAGGCTGTATGAAATAGATGCATGTTCCACATCTGGAAATGAATAGGAAAATGATGCAGACATTTAGAGGATTATGGTAATGTACTTCGTGCCCTGCAACACCATTTTAGTAACATGCTCTGCAGATACACTAAGCTGTAATTCCATAGGAAAACTGAATTTATCCTGCGTATCAGACCAAATCCAGCAGAACACCTGCCATCTTTTTACATGACAGGAGCAATCACGGAAAAACTCCAGCGCGACCACTGCTTTGAATTTTCATTATTAAATCCTTCTTAATAAAGAGACAGAGCTATTTAGTGAACTTGCTTAAATATAAAACAGTACAAGTCCATACCACTCTCCACTGATAACCTTGCCAATGTTTCATCGCTTTGAAATAAAGAAACTTATTATTTTAACAACCTCTATGCTCCCCATGACTTTATACAGTTCTTCTTTCAGTTCCCTTGGCATTTTTAACTCCACTGGACATTCTGTCTTCCCCAGACATTCAACTATCTTCTCCCGTAACCATCTAAAGTCTTCCTCAAGTAATTTTGGAGGTTATTCAGACTCCATTCCTCGCCCCCTTCTGTGTCCCCTTTATGGTCTCCTCAGACTTCGTTGTCTCTACTTAAGTCATACAACCACACAAGTACAAGAAAATCAACTACATATCCCAGCCTCAATCATTCTTAAAAACACCCTTCGTTTGTGCTGGAAATCCACTCTGTGCCCATCCCTCGTGAAAACAAAGGGGTACTCAGATATTTCTGATGACTCAGAGCTCTGAAACAAGCCAAGATTTATCTGCCAAGCCATTAGGGAAACAAAACCAAAAGTTTTGATAATTTTTGGCAGAAACTATGACATACCTATCAGGCACCATCTAAACATGAGTAAACATTTAAAATTTCAATATTCATAGCGCACATTGGATTTCCCCTTCTCTACAGGATGCTCTGGGGGCATGCCATGCTGCCTCTAACTTGCACATTTCATACACCAGGGGAACTGTAGGCTCATTCCTCCATTTTATAATGAGGATTGTAAAGGGCGGATACTTTTCTACCATGCAATCATCAGCAAACAGAGAAAGAAGCTACTCGGGCACAAGAGCAATATTAAAATGCCAAGGAAAGAGAGAGCATATGGCTCAGGTAAAACTGCCAGAGCATCAAGCTGTTGATGAAGAAAGCACTGACACTAAGAGGTATGGCACTAAGGCACCCTAAGAAACACTTAGAAAGCTGCTTTCCAATGATAGCTCTCCTCAGCCTTCAACGTGCTTTCCTGCAATCATAAAAAGAATATGCAGTTTTGCATATTTATGTGTAGATATCCCAGCACATTTTTATTTTAAATTACTGCAGCAGAGCAGCTTGCAAGAGATTTGTAACTGCATCCCAAAGAATACTCAAGGTTGAAAAGGATCTCTAGAGATCACCTAATCCAGCTCTTCCAATACCTCTAAGAAAAGGGGATTTCCAAGAGGGGTGAGGCTCCCCAGGGCCTCATTCAAACAAGTTTTGTTTGCTTGCTTTTAAACCTCAAAGGACAGATTCAACGAGGTTCCTGGGCAGCCCATTCCAAGGGGTGTCACCATTATCCCCTCTGGAAAATAAGTGACATTTCTTAGATGGTTACCACAGATTACATATCCTTCTCTATAGAAGATGCTGGAAATTTATCTAAGGTAAAAGTAGCAGTGCATAACAAACATACATTTCTTCCAGCCTAGAACCACTACACTAATCTGATGCTTCAGATTAAGAATTACTCTCCCTGCTTCTCAAGACTGCTGTTTGAGTCTAATGTTCCAACACCTCTGTATTGCCATAAGTTCAAGAAGAGAAGCAAAAGCTGCAGTCAACTTCTCCCACTGTTTATAGGCATCCAAACTTTCAGTGACTTAGTACAACAAAAAAAATGCTTTTAGAACTAACATTCTTGGCCTGTTCAGAAGTGTTATTAAGGAAAACCATAACTTACCTCATTGGTTCGGGCTTTTTACTCTGGCAGTTAATTAGCAGTAGATAGTCCTGAGGATCTTCTTGACTAGAGGAAGACTCCAGTGGGGGGATGTTAATAAGCTGATAAGGAGGAGGTAGGGAAGATTCTGCTTGCATGGAAGGCGGTGAAGTGTTGATGGGCAAGGGTAACTCAGCAGATGCTTGTAAAGAACTGACTGGGGGCTTCACAGCATCTGCAAACACAGAAGCATACTGCTTTACACAGTTAAGAAATGGTTTTAACAACACTACCAAAATATTTGTTAACAGAACATCAGTTTCTTTGGATTTGTTTTTCAATTCAAAACTGTACAATCAGTAGGCATAAGAAAGCCTTAGTCTTGAATATTAAGGCTTGTTACAGAGCAGACACGGACCCATAGGTCGTTACTTGAATTTGGTAACCTGAGTCACTATTTGCTTATGTTCATCCAAGATCACTTCAACATTTGCTATTACTCATCTGCTGAGAACCGGCCCCTCAATAGCTGAAAAGCAACAGGAAAGAAGCTGCTTTGGCAACGGAAGTTTCTTTGTAAATAAAGTAATACAGACATACAACAGGTATCATGTTCCAATAGATGTCTTCTTACATACTCCAACTTCTCATTTTGGCGCAGTAAATGCAGTTATATGTGCTTTTTTAAGCATTCTCTATATAATTCTTACCCACTCCTATTCGTATATATTGCAGATTAATGTATATTTTTTCTTTCTTATTAAATTATCTAGGAGATAGAAAAATACTGACACTATCAAACATGAAGCAATCCTTCAATTTTTCTTTCTTTCAGCGATTCATAGATTACAAACAACATAGTTCAAAGTACAACTTCTCAGCTATTTAGGCTTCCTTGTTCTTGCAATTCACCATACATTCTCATTTGTGCATCCCAAGAACGGACACTGACTACTAGTATTTTTATAACAGACATATTATTCAGGAAAAACTACCCTTTTTAGACTTAGAGGGTAGTTCAGCACTAAAAAGAAAAAGCCCATGTCATCCAACTTCAGCTTCCCAGCACTATCCTGGGAAGAACCAGATGAACACATGAGAACATAGCCCTCTTGCTTCCAGTTCTGTCTATACAAGGTACGAGCGATTTAGACATGGAAATAGGAAGAAAAGTACTTGCTTTGAACTCCCAGAGCACTTGCACAGGCTCAGAAATTAAATCCCACCACACCCACGTGGGTGGAAGATGTATGAAAATTTCTCAACTTGGCCTACCTGAAAAGGTAGGAAAGCCTAAAAAAAGTTTTTACAAAAAAGGTTGGACTTGAGCTCTCCAGTAAATTAGTTAGCATTACAAAGAGAACAGACTGCACCCAGTGATCACACACACACACGAGTAAAACTGTTTCTTCGCTATTTTTTAAAATATTAAAATGTGAAAAATATGCCATTTAAAAACTTCAAGAGCTCTATGAAGCTCTCATGAGACACCTACATTAAATACAACTGATCTTTATTTATTCCCCTTACGCTGGAAGAGAGAGGCATCAGAATGGCTGTAACAGGCACATATTGCTTGCTTGCTCCTAGAAAAGACATAGTGGGAGAAGGGAAAAGGAGATCTTTGTCACCTCCAGAACCAGGGACCACAAGCCAAGCTTATGTATGAGTAGGAGAGAGAGAGAAAAAGGTTTCCTGTCAGATACACTACCATTCTCCAGGCATATTTAGCAAGAAGCAAGATTCACAAGGGCTTCAGAGTACCCAAGTCACCACCCCCTGTTCCTTGCCCCTGACTAAACAAAACCTTCACACCATTAGGTTTGCTTGGTGCCAATATCACATAAGAGAAAAAAGAAATCAAACAGGTGCCCTTGAAACTTTCAGGCAAGAGAAATGTTTCAATGAGACCATACATAGTCAGGAGAGCCCAGCAGTGACATGGTAAGATGCATGTCTACATGAGCCTCATGTATTTAAACAAACCACACATTCCCAAGAAAAGATTCAGTGGTAACTTCCCAGGGGAAAGAAAAGCACCACCACCACAATCAAAAAGCTTGAAAAAGGACTAATGCATCAGCCATGTTCAGAGTATGAAAGAACGACATCGTGTTACAAGAAAAAAAAAACAAGTCTGTGAAAAAATAAATTAAGTTAAAGGTTGGCTACACAGTAAATGGTAAAAGGAGGTAATGTGAAGATGACCAGTAGGCTAAACATACAGGCTCAGATCTGGAACCTCTAAGCCTGCAATGCCCATCTACAATAGCGGCATGTCACAGACAAACTGAGCAGAAGCAGCAAGGCAGGCCTGGCATCACACCCTTACTATCTGGCTCCCTACAGCTTCAGAACATCCCACTGCAGAGGTTGCATCCACATTCTCTGCTTACCAGGCTCCGGTAGACTTCTTTCTGAATTTCTTATTGTTGACGTTTTTTGAGCTCCACAACAGCCTGTAGCAATGGTTCCACAAGATACTACAATATTACACATCATGAAAAACTACTTGCTTTAATTTTAAACCTGCAGCCTGGTACCTTCATTTCAGCTCCCCTCCTCAGAGAAGCACCGAACAGTCATTCCCTATTCATAATATCCATTCTCAACTTCGTGGAGCTTTGCCACTGCTTTACTGACTTGGTGCTGACTAATTTTTCTTGGTACAGAAACTGTCTCACGGCAGCACTTGTTTCTCTTCACCCTCACTTCTCACAGCCCTACTGATTCCCTAATTCCGTTCTCAGAAAGGAAGCCAACTGTTGCGTAAAATGTAGAAAATTTGGGACATACTTATTAATTTATAAACACCCAACAATGTTTCATTCTATTTCGATCCTAACCACTTACATTTGATTGTTGCTGAGTATTGAAGTTAATGCTGTAAGACTGCCCAGAAGGCTCCGAGCAAGGATTTGGAGCCCAATAACATTAATGGATCATTAAGGTCATTTTCCTCGTGACAAGATGCCACATTTACTTTGACAGATATAATTTGACAAAATCACCGAGTCCTTGCACAGACCTGTTTTATTCACTTATTTGTTTTTCCAGGCATTTTGTGTGCTAAGAGGAGCAGGCTATTGGCTGATTTAAAGGCCATTTGAACACAGTTTCACGTAGTTCACCTGCCGGGCCACTTATTTGCTTCATGCATTCAACCTATTTCAAATTTTACTACCAAGAAAACAGTCAAGTTAATGACTGATCACTGATCAAATAAATCTTGTTTGCCTACCCGTACCTTCCCAAACACTCTCCTTAGCCACTTACTTCAGAAGCTGATATGAAGAATAAGGTTTCTCCCAGCAGCCTATTATGATTTCAAAGAGTACAATAAACAGCTTGCTTCATTTTGAACCAGCAGATTTTTAGGGAAGGGGTCATCTGCACACCAAAGAACACTGCAAGTCATTTGGTTTGTTCCCAGAGCTCAGACACTACGACTGCTTTGAGAAACTGCGAGCTGGAAAAACATCCAGAATATTTAACATGCAAATTAGTGTAAAAAGAATCCTATTTTGTTTTTATAATTCTTGCATTCAGCGCAGCTACAACAAGCAGCTTTCTCAGAAGACAGTAGGAGTTTTAACTTTTCTCACTTGGTTTGTTATGAGCAGCTATAGGCATCACTTATTATAGAACTTACACTTTCTTCTCATAGCCATTTTCATATTTAACTCATTACTCAAACAATCAAAAAATCCATGAAGTAAAAAGAAAGCTTCTGAATAAAAATAATATGAACAATTCAGAAGATTTGAGTGTGGGAATTTGCATTTAGGGATGGTTTTTGTTCTTACCGTGCATGGTTTTTTTTAAGTCAACTTTTTTTCCTATGTTGTGATATGCAATGCTGAAGTCTCAAGATGCTGAGAATGTAAATACTAGAAATATTCTCCAAGTGTAATGCAGCCTGTTTGAAAAGTAAGGAAATGGATTGGAGCAAGATAGGTAGAGAGACCAAAATAGAAATGGATTTTTCCCCATCTAACAACAGATACACAACTGCATGATCCTACGATTGAGATGTCTCATTCAATCCATTTACCATGATGCAGATGTTCTCACTGAAACAACAAAATATTAGAGTAATACCCTTGCACAGGAATTTTCAAGTACAAGTAGGAGTCACAAAAGACATGTAGAAGTACAAGTTATGTACTATTATGTTACCCTTTTTTTCCTGCTTCTATCCACTCTGCAAGGTGCACATATCTAAAATAACTTCAAAGAATCTGTATGATTATATACTTCACTTTATTCCTTAAGAGAACTCCTCCTTTTATTTCTAAGCTACTCAGTGAAGTCATTATCTTTGCTCCTTCATGTAATAAGGCACATTCTGAAATACACTGCCAGAGTTTCCTCTACTGCCAGCTTCTCCACACTGAATTTTGCTGAGAGAGATTTTCAGCATAAATGATCAGTTTACAATCAATGTGAAATCTATGCAGTGAGCTTCAATTCTGAAGCTTTCAGCTTACAGCAAACAAAAGCTTGCGTGAGCACCTCACGACTTGATAGGTAGTTATCTGCACAACCTTGCAACCCACTCTCTTGGAATTTGTCCAAGAAACTCATCAAATGATTTTAATGCCACAAAAGATGTTCAGCAGGTACCACAGAGAAAAACTAAGCTAACTGCCTATGTTAGTTATATTGAGGCTGTTCCTCAAGGAAAAGAAAAATTACGTTTCATATGATTTTCTGCTGAAGGCAATTGACAGTTTAAGATAAGAATATCAAACATTCAAGATTAAGGTCTTGACTGCATTGTATTTTTTCAAGCATTTTTTGTTCCTCACACTCTTACAAAGTAAGAGGTACCGCTGCAGATTTTATGCTCTGTCTTCTCTTAGCCATATTATCTGGAATTGAAGACAACTCAGTGTCCTCTGATGTATTCCCTTTCTCCTTTCCATAATGGAGAAGGACTATCACAGCTTAGTGAACCTCTCATCAGTTCTTTAGCCAGCAGCAACCTCTGCCACATCTGCAATGCCAAATTTCAGGTCCTTCTCTGAAACCACTTCTAATTTTACTACACCACTCTATTTTCTCCAGATGACTTCTGGCAACTGTGACAACTCCCTTCACAGCCTATTCTGACCTTTCTCTGAGCAATTCCACACTCACCAAGAAATCACAGGTCTACATCTCGCTGATACTTCCTCAAAGTAAATAACCAAAAAACCCTACACATGATATGTTCTCGGGCCACGACTCCCTCCAAACCTACTGCTTCACTTTTAAGATAACTAGCTCACAAACCCTATCAGAGGATTCCTCTCCTTTATGTTTAACTCGGTCCTTTCATGGTTTTTTTTACTCCATTCAGGGTCCCCAGTCTCTCATGTTCCTGGCGCGTCATCTCTGAGCAGGTCTGGCTATCTCTCAAGTTAGAAATATCCAAGAAGTGTCAAAAATCACAGGTTATCATCATGTACATCATCTCTACTGTGCAGTACATCCTATTATCACACCCATTAAAACAAACCAATGCTCATTCAGAGTGCTTCCACTGCACGTCTAACAAAGAGAAACCTATTTCCATTCCACTGCTCTGTTCTTGCCTCACCCACATCCATCAAAAAGGCTTGTTTTGAGTTTATTATCCTTAGAATTTTTATATTCCTCCACAATCTTCATCTATGTCTCACTTTTGAGAATTTTCACGACCAGAGTTCTCAATTATCATCATGTTACTGATTTGGCTATTTTGATTCGCCAGCCTCTATCATCCACTTGGTAAGAAACAAAAAAACTGCCTTACAGGCTAACCCTTCATGCAGGATAGGTACCCTGAACACCTCTAATATCCAACCAGATTTACCAAACACCCATGAGAATTTCTTCTCAATAGTCCCTGAGTTCAACAACAGCCCAACAACTGAAGGACTAAGGTAACTTACCTGTCACTGTGATAAAAACTGCTTTGTTTGCTTTTACTTTTTCCTACTCCCCTGCTTCTACATTGAGGTCTCCTATCACACAAGTTAAGTTCTTAATGGCAAGACCTGTTTTCTGTTTCATACTTGTGCTACAGGAAGCACAGAGCTATCCTGATCTGATACAGATATCTTCAGAACAGCATGGCAGCAATGATGCTTGGCTGTGCGGCCTTATTTCTTACTGGTGAAAATAGGAGCTGAATTAGGTAGAAACATGGAGTTAAATTCATCCTGCCAGTCATTGCTCTTACATCCATGCTATCATCAAGCAATCTATTACTGTGCATGTATTATCAGATCATGATTTAAAAAAACAACTGGTTGCTTGACAATTATACTGTTCAAAACAAAGAAAGCAAGAGAAGCATGTATGAGATGGCAATTCCCTGAACAGGAATCTTACAAACTTAGAAAGCATTGTATGTGAAAAAACTGCAGTTCTTTGTTTCTTTTAAAACTACAATCTGTATGACGACTGAAATTTTCTGTACTGCATTCAAGTTTATTGTCAACCTCACTATCTTTTTTTTTTCTTTTTTTTAAAATTTTCTTTTCTTCAATGATCCCCTCCTGTTTCACCTGGTCATTGTTACGTTCATCAAATGACCACGTGTAACTAAGATGTTTGCATCTAGTAAGATCATTTTCCCTTCTCCCACTTTGCTAAGGGTGTAATTCATTACATGACAAAACCATGGAGCTGGATTACACATAAAACATTCACTACAGACATCTTCTGAATCGTAGGGAAGGGCTTTCAGCACCTTGTCTCAGAACCTATGTTTACATACCCTTAGAAAGTTTTCCTTACCATTACTCCTCCCTGATTAATTTCTCCCTGTAAAGAATCAATTCTTCAACTATTCTACCCCTTGATCACTTAAAAACCCATTTCCATTATTTCCACTGCTCTTGAAATGTTTATCCTCGTCCTCCTAGAAGATCAGACCACAGTCATTCAGTTGAGGTCTCCACAGTGCCAAGCAGAGGAGAATGGCCATTTCTCATAACCATTTATTCTCTCCATCCCAGAATGTATGCTTGGAAGTCCAGTGACACAAGCGACAGGCAACATATTCTCGCTTATAGTTACATCTTAACCTCTACATGACTAAGCCAATACCTATTATGTTATGACCTTACCCAGAAAACATGAATGCTAAGAATGCAGTAAGAAGCTTGATGATAAAGCAATTCAGATTCGTGCTCACACGTAGCTCCCCTTATAAAAAGGCAATACAGAAAACAAAACAAAAAAACATTTGCTGAAGAGTAAAAAGCATCCCTATTTTTTTATTTTTATTTTTTTAAATAGAACTGTCTAAGTTACTTAAAAATATATTTCCTTGATGTTTCAGGCTCACTGTAAGTTTCAAGACTACCTAATCACCGTAAGCCCTACCTCAAAAGAACTGTTACATAACACGATTTGATACCATCAGAAAGCTGAAGACTCTACAACTTGTAAAAGTGCCTAAAGAACACAAATTTATCTACTTACTCTCCAAAAAGAAGTATAACCTTGCAGCTCTTCAGTACACTTAGGATTTGTTTTCTCCCGTTAGCAGGTAGATATATCTTACAAAATAGGAACTTTGAAATACAAACATTCAGCAACTGATTTGCCCGTGCTTCTTTTTTAATTCTTCCTCTATGAATTGCAAGACAAAACTACACCCATGACACAGATAGTACCATCAACTTCCAACTACATAAAGTGATAGGGCTGGGATAATTCAGCAAATGCTTAAAAGCTGAAGATTAAACATGCAATTGAAGAGTAATAGGGAAGAACTACTGATTAAATTGACCGAATTAAAAAGTATTTTGATCCGAACAGGGCATAGTTAGGTCTCCTTGCATTCATAGTGGATTTAATCTTCAGTTGAGATACATCAAAATAAAGTAACAGATTAACAAAAACCATCTCTCAGAAAGTAAAGGCCTCACGGGTTTGAGGTGCCTACTTTTCCATTTCGCGCGCTCTTTTCTGCAGTCAAGTAAGTGTGTGCTCTCTTTACATCCAGGCTCTTAGCTTGTCCCCAGAAACAATAATTTCTAGGTGTCTCCTATTCGTGGCTGCACTGAGCCACTAGTTTGTTATCCATGAAAAAACAACTACCTGTCTACCTTTCTCTCATTTGTAACACATCTATCAGATTGAATACTGAATCATGTGGCAATCACTTAAGAGATATGTGCTGTGGGTGGTCTCCTTCCCCTCCCTCAATGCATAACCCAGAAGTAAAAAATGAGGGATTTAATTGCAGTCTTTTCTCTCTGATATGCTTAATTCACAATACTTAACTGCTCCTATTTAATCTTTCCTGGGAATATGCACATGGCTACAGAAAGTCATGCCACCCGCTACCCTTCAGAAGGAATAATAATAAATAAGGACAGTTTCAGGACAAGTAATGGCAATAATGTATTTGTCGGCATTTAACGCCACCTTCTTTCCACAACGCTGGTCCCACACAATGACTGCTTTGGTAGGATTTGAGCTGGATAGTGGAGAACTACAAGTTACTGTTTGTTTCAGCCAGTAAAGGGAGCATATTTTTTTCCAAGCTGCAAAGCAGATGGAGGCACAGCAGTATTAGAATCCTGACATTTTGCACTCATTCCTGATCACAGAGCCATGCGTTCTACACCAGACGGATTTCCTTTGCTGACAATCTTTGTCCTGCACGATTTTACTTCAAGATTCCTCAAGACCTAACATCATGCAAAACAGAAAAGAAACATCCATTTTTCTATGACACATTTAATTTGTAATGAGTTCTGAACACTTTGCTCTATTCTGCTCACATTCTTTCGCAGCAAGAAAGAACTTTCATAGTCAGTGCACGTGTGTTTTAAAACATGTGAATGTTAACACTAGTCATTCGAAATGTTCTATGCATGTAGGCATGACACTTTCTGAGGGAAAAAAACAAACTTACCCTCATCTGTAGGGTTGAACCCACAGATATCACAGATGCATCGAACCCACTTATTCATCTCCTCCTCGCTGTCTGCCACCAAATAGAAAACTCTGTCTATAGTGTTGATGTCAAAAATGTAGCTGTTTTCAAACTCTTTCTTGTTGAATGTTAATCCAGCATCCACTTGCTGACACAAGTTTAAGTCAATAATACGGATAGGCTTCTTGGCATGGTCATTTTTGTAGTATTCCAGTACATCTGGATCTCCTGTTAAACGGCCACTCCGAAGCACAAACCATCTCCTCTTCCATGCCTGAAAATTCATAGAAGAAAAAGAGAAAAATCAAAAGTAGGAAATAATACTTCAAAACCTTCTGTACGTTGTTTCAGGTCGAGTTGAACTCAGTAATAATTAGTTCAATCACCATTTGATGAGACGACACTTAAGTTAGCGGAATTTAATGCAGTCCATTTACTTACTGTTAGAACAGCAGACTAGACACTGAATCCATATTTTAACCTTTACTTCTTTTGCATTTTAGTTTTGCTTTTAAAAGCAGATCGTATAATTAAGCTACTATTCAAAAATAATGAAGGATGAATCCAGTAAAGAAAATAAGGAGGCGAGAAGAGGGAAAAAAAGCCCCAAAATCTTCTGAAAGTAACTGCCACAGGCATAAGAAAATGAAACGCGTCTAAGTGTAGATATTTAGAAATAAGATCATAATGTCTTGATTCAGGCTGGTTTATTCCAGCTCTGATTATGTTTTTTTTTAATTGATACTCCACAATAGCAACCTGCAGTTAAAGAATACAGTGTTCACACTGCATACTTCCCTTGACGTTAGGCAATCTTTGCACTCAGAAGTTTGCAGTGTTTTACAGCAGAACTTTTAAAAGAGAAAGACCTACGCTATTATTTCAGAAAACATCAAAGATGTGGGGAGGTACAAGAATGACCCAACGGTCCAGTCTCATACCACATAAAAAGTCCCTGCAGGAGGTACATCCACAGAAGAAAAAACTTCACAATCACTGTATATGTTGTATCAACCTCCAGGATGCTGCAAATCTGAAGAACTGGGACAGAGAGAAAAACACAACTAAAACGCCTCATCTTCGAGTCAACCCTCAACTGCCTTTCATTGCTGTGGGCCTCTCTTTCTCGTCAATTAAATACGCTCCATCACTGCAAAGACACTAATGCAAACCCAAAGAGAAAAGTTCACATTTATCTGTCTTCATGTCACCACATGCATTCTTACTGTCCTGCTCAGTGCTGCACTCTGGTTTCTCAGCTCTACCAACAGCATCGCATCCTCTGCTATAAACTCCAAATGCCAGGATAATCGTAGAACGTCTCTCAGAAAATGGCTTGGGTCAGAAGGGAGCTTAAAAGACCACCCAGTTCCACCCCCATATCTGTGGGCAGGGCTGCCCCCAACCCCACTCATCCTGGCCTTGAGTGCTTCCAAGAATGGGGCACAGCTTTCTCTAGGCAGCCTGTGCCACTGCCTGCCTTCCGAATGAAATTTACCCCAAATATCTAACCTCAATCTCTCCTCCTTTAGTTTAGAACCACACTCCCCTGTCCTACCACTGTCTGCCTGTGTGAAATTTCTGTCCATTTATATCCTTCCTTCAAGTACTGGAAAGCCACAATGAGGTCTCCCTGCAGCACTCTCTTCTCCAGGCTGAACAAGCCCAGCTCCTTCAGCCTTTCTTCATATGAGATGTGCTCCAGCCCACTGATCATCTTTGAAGTCCTCCTTTGACTGCCACCTACAGCTCCGTAACTTTTTTTTGTGTGAGAGGCTGCAGGCCTGGATGTAGTATTCCAGATGGGGCTTCACAAGGACACAGCAGAAGGGGACAATCCCCTCCCTCTCCCTGCCAGCCATCTCCCTTTAGATACACATGGGAACAGGCAGTAAAAGAAACCAGACATACTGCTAACTGCCCACTGGAAAAAACTGTGTTGCATTCTCACGTGAAAAGTGAACAAGCAAACCCCGTTAGGACAAAACCTGATGTTAGAACCCCCCTCCAGCCAAAAAATAGGTATCAGCTCACCCCGATTACAGACAGAACCGAAGGCCAAATGAAAGTAACAGTATCAGCAGAGGATGTCAAGACATGATATCCTTTACACACTGATGTAGCTTAAAAAACAAAAGTTTCTGACAATATATTAAGAAAAGATTCAAATGGGTTTTCTTAGGGAGAAAGGTTTCATTTTTCTGAAGGCGTGAGCTTTGAGCAAACTCACGGAGGAAGACATGAGGGACAGTCAGAGCTGTGCCATCAAATTCCAGCTGCAAACCAGTGCCACCAGCTTTGTGCTGGAGCCACACAAACCAGTTACTGTGATACTTACGTGCTATTCTGGGTAGCAAGCTCAGGAATATGTTATGAAAAAGTAATATAGAAAATGGGAGAAAGAGAAGAACACCAGACAGCTTAATTAGGGCTTGAGATTCACTCCCCACCTATGAAGCTGCTTGAAGTTTATTTGATCTTAGACAACTTTTATACTCGATAAAATAAGCAGCATAGTTGTGAAGCTGCCTTTAAATGTGGAACTGTGTGGATCAAGCCAACGCCTCAAGCAGTGATTTCTGCAGTCCCAACAAGATCATTGGGTGAACAGAAAAATGCAGAGGTGGCAAACGGAACAGATGAAGGATGTGAACTTAGACTGCAAGTAGAAGCATCTTCAGGTAGCACAGCTGCTGAGCACAATGTAATAGAGACCCAAAAATACCAGCAAAATGGGCAATTGTTTCCTATTTCCATATCAAATGACAACTTCGACTCCGTAATAACAGGAAACTCCAGTAACAGAGGATTCTCTTTAGACGAGGCTGACCACAGACAGTTAAGAATGGACTGCAAAGTTCTTAATTCAGAAACAACATTTCTCTTAAACCTCAGCCTTCAGTTTGCCCAGATGACATTTTCAGTGTCTAAATGAGAAGATTAGAGAGGGAAAAAGCTACTGAGAACTAAGGTTGATTTGTTTTGTGATTTGTGACCAAAAGTGAAGTTGGTACCAACCAAGCATACTTCACAGAAGTTCAATTCCAATACTGTGTTAACGAGAGAAAAATTTGTGTGGTCAATCCCACCAATCACTGTGGAGCATTAAAGAGTAAAAAGCACTCAAATTCAGAAAATCAACCAGCTAAACAGAATTTGGTTTTAGCCCTTCTGGCTACAAAACAGCAACTATTAAATACTTATAACAGAATTCAGCCTAGCAGCACCTGCTACTATTTTGGAAGAGTTTTCACATAGTACATATGTGAATGTTTATCTCAGTCATACAATGAGTCACACTCACTGGAACTGGCACAGATTATATTCAAAAACAAAAGCAATTCCATAAACTACACACTAATAAGGCAGATACAAAGGTTCTCTGGATTACAGTACAAAGCACAATTTAGCAGCAGAATAAAGCTAAAAGCTAGACAAGAGAACTGACATCAGCACCCTTGCTAATCATAGCACAAAAGCGCCTCTATATTTTGTCAAAGTGCAAAATGAGCCCACATAAATTACTCTTTGTTATTCGAAAATATCTGGGATTCTTAAAGCTTGATCTATTTTTAACATTTCAGTATTTGCTGTTGTAACGAGGGCTGCATACTGCCTCACTGAAGCACCAAATCCTGTGCTCCATGCGCAATAAAGAGAGCTTCTTTAATAGCTGCTTTCCAAAAAGAAATCTTCAAAAAACAGCACGCACATGTGCAAATACGTACTTATGCAAATCATCTTTTCCCTTCTCTCTTTTTAACCCCTTCAGGCATCCCTGTATGAAGCTTCTGCATCTCATTTTACTGCGCACTTTCCAATCCACACAGCTCTTTCTCTTAATCATGCACACACACAAGAAGCTCCACTGGTTTAAGTCAAAGGAATATTGTGATTACTAATGCTCTGTCGTGTCACTTAGGATTATCAATCATATGTTATCAGCTCAAATATTTTTTCAAGAATAAACAATATTGGTATTAGGACAAAAAATCATCCCATAACCTACTGAGTTTTGTGTTTTTGTTTTGTTTTCTTCTTTTCTAACCTAATCCTGTTGACTTTAGCACAGAAAAACAGCATCTGACAGAGGAAAGAAGGCTGTATTATTTTTATTTTTTAATGAAAGACACACACACACAAGTCATACTAAAACACTGCTATTAACAAATGCACTTACACTAACTAGTTACATGACACCACATGCAGATTTAATACTAACACAGAAGTAAATCTGTTGCTTTTCCAAGTGTGATATGACCAAAGTCACAGGAATAAAGCTCCCCAAAAGCCTATGCAGGCTTCTAAAGCTCTCTATTCCCAAGCAAGGCTTGCTGCTTTTGCTTCTGACTAAGAAATGATTTCTGTGACCCTCAGCTTGTTTCCTCCCAGAGCTGCACAGCGTATCAGCTGGTCTACCATAGGATGTGACCATTCCTGCCAAACACTGTCCTGTTTATATCATGAGACCATCATATCATGAGACTATCATAACAAGCTTGCTTGCTTGTTTTTCAAGTAGACTAAAACATGACAAACTGCTCACTCACAGAGCCTCAAATGATGAAAGTAAGTGGAATTCATTATTTTTCAAATAGCATTATGAGCAGGTAAAAATAAAACAGATAATAATTGAAAGCTTGTAGTTAAGACTGTATGCAATACAGAGAATTTAGAGTACAGTCTCCTTACCTTAGCTCTACCTGCTGAATATGTCAACAGCACCATAGCCTGCAGCTCTATCCCCTATAAACCTACTTACTTTAGGATTTATTTCTTTTCTTGCAACGTCTATTAGAAAGGTACCTCATTTTGTTTCAGGTTCTACTGGAAACATGTAGGCATGTCTAAGTGGACAAGGAAAGTAAGGAGGAAGGGGCAAGAGGAAATGGATAATTTACCTTTTTATGTTAAAAAGTGTTTTATGTTCCACTTGGATACCCTCAAGCTGTTGCTCAAACAGTTAGATGAAATTTTTTAAAGGATTAAAACTTGTGAAATATGTCAAAGGATATTTGTTCTGGACAGCTCTTTTTGCAGCATTTGTTCTCACGCATTTAAGCAACTGCACTTACTAACAAACTGGCCAATTGTCCTTGCTGGGTTTACCAAGTATTATTACCCGTAATCCTCACGTCATTTAAGTTGTTTTTCTACTACTCGTACAATGACCACCTGTTTCTCCATTCTCAAAATCCTGCAAAAGTAGCAAGCACTAGCAAGCCAGCCCAAAGAAGATATCACTGGCATCCCTCTCCAGTAACATCACCCATA